GTCGATATTAAAGTATTTGAATAGAACAATGGCGGCAAAATCAACATGATTGCTGTGTTAAATGAATGCATTTGGGTTACAGGCTCTTTATGTACATGTAGGTTGTGTTTGTGAGATGCATTCTTGAGCAGCTCACTGTGTGTTTCCACGGGGAGTGTGGTGCGCGCACAAGAAGCCTTCTCCAGGAGGGCAGTCTCGTCCCTCAGAGGATGGGGGATTCTTGCAGGGTCACAACACTCTTCGTCCAGATCATAGCCTGGTGGATAGCTGGTCAAACGTGGTGTCCTGCGTAGACTGGATGTTTTCCATCGATTTGGACTTTTTTTTGAGGAATATATCTATTTGTCTCGTTGATAGAGTGCTGGGTTTTGGTCTTGTAGTAGAGGACAACTGAGTAGTGTTCAATGTGTTTGAAGAAGTTGTCCACGTCCAGCTCATAGGATGGAGTGACTGCGACTTAGGAAAAATCTTCTGTGAATTGGGGTTATGACTCTTACCCTTCCAGTGCAGTATCAGAGCCCGCGAAGCTGTGGAGGACTGGTAAGGCTTGGGCTTGTTCTTGTAGTCTACGAGCGACGGCACAGGCATGGAAATGTGTGAAATTTTTCCACTACCGAAGGCGACGTGTATGTTTGCAGCTAGACACACTAACAGGAAAGGATGACAAATCACACTTTCATCCACCATGCAAGTATTTCAGAATTATGGCGTTCGCTTCCTGGGGTTGCATATGAACATTATCTAACCTCTTCCTCCAGACAACACTCTGGCCGGAAGTGATGTAAGTCACCTTCGCAGGTGGAAAGACGCAGATGTGATACTAACGAATTTTGCAGAGGCGTTCGACAAATGTACTCATGCAGTGATTGCACACAAAATGAGGGCCACAGAGATCAAAAAGAAGGTAAGATTGTTTCAGGTTTCTGAGAGAAAACAGATTAGTAGTAAACAGAGCAGAATCCAGTATTAGCGTGATAAAAAGTTCAGTCCCCAAGACACTGTCCTGGTGCCTCTACTGTTTTTTTTTATCCTTGTAGCAGACATAGATAAAAAAAACACTCTCCACAGTTTTGTATCATCATTTTCAGATGCCACCAAAATAAACACGAAAAATTGAAAAACTACAGGAAGATACAAATAGGATTTTCCAGAGGGCAGTGGAGAACAATATTACGTTAAATAGTGATAAATTCCAGCTGCTTAGGTATGGAAAGAATGAAGAACTCAAATGGAACATTGTATACAAAACTCAAGAGGATCATCAAATAGAATGAATGGAACGCATGAAAGACCTGGGGGTAATTATGTCGGCTAAACTTTCAAGGAAAACAATAAAACCAATATCACGACAGCCAGGAAAATGACGATGGATAATGAAAACTTTCAAAACAAGGTAAATAGTGCCAATGGTGACACTTTTCAAATCACTTGTGCTCTCTCATTTAAAGTATTGTTCAGTATTGACGGCCCTGTTCAAGGTAGAAGAGATATTAGAGCTGGAACAGATACAGATCATTTACGGCCCACATAGAGCCAACAAAACATTTAAATTACTGGGAACACATCAACATCCTAAACATGTGCTCACTGGAGCAGAAGAGAGATGCATGTTAATATATATACGTGGAAGGTACTTGAGGGCCTTGTGTAATATCTGCAGATATGGGAGGAAGTGCGAATTAAAGCCAGTGAAAAGTAGGGGTGCAGTGGGTACAGTCAGAGAACAGTGTATCAACGTCTGTGGATCCAGACCATTCAATATCTTACCAGAAGATGTAAGAAAAACTGATGGAACAAGTGTAGAAGTCTTCAAGAGGAAACTGGACAAGTACTTTCACCAGGTGCCAGATCAACCAGTCTGTGAAGGATATGTGGGGCAGCGGGGTGCCACTAGCAACAGCCTGGCAGACCAGGCAAACACCAGATGAGCCTGGCCTAAGGCCGGGCTCCGGAAGAGAAAAAAAAAAACTCTCGAAACTCGCCAAATACATATCAAAGGTTGCTGGAGAGGAAGTGATAAATATTCCGCTTTTTTTTAATGCCTCAAGCAGTCCTCTGATGTTGGATTTTTTTTTCTGATCAGTTATCTTTGTGAAATACTTATGCTCGTTTATTCTGTCTTAGTGACTCGTACTGCTGGTGAGGCACCTCACCATGAAGACAAACTCTCGATGAAAATTGATGAAGTTATCAAGTTGTTCTCAAAGAAATAAATGTAGCTGATTACTGATGGACTGATTACATCACCTTTCCTTCGCAACTACGCCAGCTGCCTCTGATTTAATCTCTGTATTTGACTGAAGAAGCCTACTGCGTAGGTAGGAAACCTTCCAGTCAGTGATAAAGATACCTAACTGTTGCACATGAGTCTTATTCTTCAACTTATCGAAATTGATATACCATTTTTAACAAATATAACTGTAACTGCATTTGTAAGTATTACCTCACAGCAAGTCTTGAGTTACACGGGCACTACCGTCTATGATGATATAATCAATACACTATAATTTTGATAAACATTACTGATAATATAGATAATTATTAGAAATACAAAGATATTCAAAAGAATGCCCTATATGTTGATGATATACATAAGAACATAAGAAAGAAGGAACACTGCAACAGGCCTACTGACCCATGTGGAGCAGATCCATGTCACCCCCCCCCCCCCGGAATAGTCCAATGACCCACCCAGTCTGGTCACCTCCACTCAAGGAAGGAGCACGGCACCAGACCCAGCAGCACAAGCTAGTCAGGTCCAACTCACACCCACCCACACCCTCTCATGCATTTATCTAACCTATTTTTAAAACTACACAACGTTTTAGCTTCTATAACTGTGCTTGGGAGTTTTTTCCACTCATCCACAACTCTATTACCAAACCAGTGATTTCCTATATCCTTCTTGAATCTGAATTTTTCCAACTTGAAACCATTGCTGCGAGTCCTGTCTTGGCTGGAAATTTTAAGCACGCTATTTACATCCCCTTTATTTATTCCTGTTTTCCATTTATACACCTCGATCATATCCCCCCTAATTCTACGCCTTTCGAGAGAGTGCAGATTCAGGCCCTCAGTCTATCCTCATAGGGAAGATTTCTGATACATGGATCAACTTTGTCATCCTCCTCTGTACGTTTTCCAGAGCATTTATATCCATTCTGTAATATGGTGACCAGAACTGAGCAGCATAGTCTAAATGAGGCCTAACCAAGGATATATAGAATTGAAGAACAACTGACGACTTCTATTATTTATACTTCGAGATATGAAGCCAAGAATTCTGTTAGCTTTATTGCGAACACTAATGCACTGTTGTCTTGGTTTAGATTACTGCTAACCAGAACTCCTAAATCTTTTTCGCAATCAGTAGTACTAAGAGCTACATTATTTAATTTATATGTGGCATGGTTATTTACCTGTCCAACATTTAGAACTTTGCATTTGTCAATATTAAACTGCATCTGCCACTTCTCCGACCATTGCATCAGTATTCAAATCATCCTGGAGTGCTCTAGTGTCCTCATTAGAATGAATTGGACGGCAATTAATACTAATATATATATGATAATTGTTGCTGTTTTCAAAAAGTGAGCTAAGCCCGAATGGGTTATACATCAATCGTTTACTGATGAGGTTGGTGACCTGATAAAGCTCACCTTGGTGACCTGATAAAGCTCACCTTGATGACCTGATAAAGCTCACCTTGGTGACCCGATAAAGCTCACCTTAGTGACCCGATAAAGCTCACCTTGGTGACCCGATAAAGCTCACCTTGGTGACCCGATAAAGCTCACCTTAGTGACCCGATAAAGCTCACCTTGGTGACCCGATAAAACTCAAACACTAGGGGGAAAAAATCGCTAGAATTATGATTTGGCAAGCAATGTTCTACTCTACCAGTTTCCAATCCAATTGGATAAAATTATATTGATGTAGCCCAGCCAAATGTTTTTTTTCTTGGATTTGGCCTCAGTTGACTCTTATATCATTATGCAACACTGGCCCCAACATTGTCCCTAAACAGATACCAACATTTGCAACAACAAAATTATGTTTATGTAGGACCTTAACTAAGTCGGCTTAAATTTCGAATTGTATGTCAAATGCAAATTGTTTCGGCCACGGTATTGTGAGCTATTATTGCATGGCTGTCCTTGTAGGTTTAGCACTTCTGAGTGTCATAATTGCATAGCTGTGGCCTGAGTGGGTCATGGATAGGTCTATGGAGGTCGCTTGGTTAATGGGGTTGAAAGCCTATCGACTATACTAGTGTCATTTAGGCTACATGTAACATTTTTTCCCACAAGACAAAAATACTTCAGTGCCTATAATAAGGGTTTAAGTAAGCTCTTGGCATGTGGACATAGATAAATACACCACTCGGTATATATATCTTGTGCTACATAGGTCTAGACGTTTAGGCCTAAATGGTATTGTGTATGTACAATTATCTGAAATACAGTTATTATTATTACTGCTACTCAGTCTAAATTAGCATTAATTGCAGTTACTGTTATTTAACATTCGTAAACATTCCTTTGATTAATTAACACGTGATCAAAAACACTTTAATGTGGCAAGTGTCTTGTCAAGTGCTCATGATCCACTTGCAAATTGTCAACGTCAAGGCTAGGCTAGATTACAGTGAATTAACCTTCATTTACGTACGAATATGATCTGCATTTTACTGTCTCTAAGAACGTTGGTTACTCCAGACAGCATAATGCTGTTCTTTACGACCTGTTAGGGTGTTAGGGTGCATGATGATTTTATCAGTATAAGGCCTCACGACTTGTTAGGGTGCATGATGATTTTATCAGTACAAGGCCTCACGACTTGTTAGGGTGCATGATGATTTTATCAGTACAAGGCCTCACGACTTGTTAGGGTGCATGATGATTTTATCAGTATAAGGCCTCACGACTTGTTAGGGTGCATGATGATTTTATCAGCATAAGGCCTCACGACTTGTTAGGTGTTGGCATGATGATTTTTATCAGCATAAGGCCTCACGACTTGTTAGGGTGCATGATGATTTTATCAGCATAAGGCCTCACGACCTGTTAGGGTGCGTGTTGATTTTATCAGTATAAGGCCTCACGACCTGTTAGGGTGCGTGATGATTTTATCAGTATAAGGCCTCACGACCTGTTAGGGTGCGTGATGATTTTATCAGTATAAGGCCTCACGACCTGTTAGGGTGCGTGATGATTTTATCAGTATAAGGCCTCACGACCTGTTAGGGTGCGTGATGATTTTATCAGTATAAAACCTCATGACCTGTTAGGGTGCGTGATCGGTTTATCAGTATAAAGCCTCATTACCTGCTAGCGTGCGTGATAGGGTTTATCAGTGGCTTCAAGTCCTGCTAGTGTATGCGGTAACCTTATTAGTGATAAGCTTCACGATGTCGTAGTTTAGGTGGTAAAATACATCTTCATAGTTTACATGGCAGGCCAACAAGTATAAAGTCTTCGTAGTTTATGTGGTAAGCCTACTAGTGTAAAGCCTAACGTCTTCATACAAACTAGCTAGTCTATACGGCATCAGTGAATTTGTTTTTAGCATGTTGAGAGCATTTTGTCGTTTCTTCACGACATACTTATGTGTGTTTTTGTCTGAAGATACATCAAACTCCTGTGCATCCTGCGCCTCACACACCAGAGCTGGGATGGCCAGGGCACCGTAAATAAGACCCACTATATTCCTTCTGTAGAACTCTTTGGTGAGCTCGGCCAGTGTGAAGGGCATGGCCGCCTCCGCCGCCTCCATCACATCCTTGAAGGAGGTGTGATAGGTAGCCAGAAGGTGCTCTAGTTTGTCGTTCCTGTCGGAGGCGACGAGGCTGCTGAATAAGAAGTAGTTGAGGTCAAAGGCGAGTGATGTCTTGCGACACAACTGGAAGTCCAGCAGCATTACTTCTATTGGATCACCCTTGTTGTCATCTCTGAAACATCAATATGATGTAAGGACTTAACCAAATATAATCAACACAGAACACAAGTGCAGCAAATATACTTGCCACTAATCACGTGTGTGTGCAACACCCACACCAGTACCTGCATGTTATAAAGCACACACACACACACACACACACACACACACACACACACACACACACACACACACACACACACACACACACACACACACACACACACACACACACATATTCGCCCGCTTCTCTGTTTACTAAAACCATTAACACATGATATATAAAATTGCAAATACAAGTTGTGTAAATCCTAATTATATTTATTATAACGTTGTATACTCTCCTGCTACTTGATAATTTCTTTTTTTATACACACTCATTAGTAATGGAGATGCACCATTTCACATTTTTAAAGCTTTTTATCTATCCAAAATATTGTTTTCAAGTTCTATCACATTTTTTTTCGCTGTGATCACTGTAAATATTACTTGGTGATGATATTGCTACACCTGCATGATGCTTCGAAATTTAATTTTGGAAATAGGCTTCTTCATACTGTTCAATTGTAAACAATGGGGTGGACAACTGACACTGTACATTATTGGCTAAATTTCTATAAAAAAAAAAAAAAACTCGCCTCGTAACTGTACCAAGTAAGACTCATCTGTGTGCTTCTGGCTATTTTAAACAGGCAAATACAAATGTATGTGTAATCTAATCCTCACTGGAGAGAACAAGCATTAAATATTTTAATTTAAACCTCTGAGAAAGAAGCCGTGGTAGCCATTTAACTTGACAATAACAAGATTGTTTTTGCTTCCTAAAACATACTGGCCAAGACTGAGTGAAGATAAATATACATTAATTACCCTTAATACGGTGATCATCAATTTTAAGTGACGAGATTTTTGCTTGTGTTAGTGGTTGTTTGATACTGTTGCTGGTGGTCGCTGTAACCAAGAAAACTTAAGTTATGATAAGTGGTTTTAAGGGCTCAATAGAGAGGTTAAGCGGTGGTTGGTACAACATAAGTGGCTGATAAAGACTTGAGTCTTGGAGGTGGGCAGTACAGTGCCTGCGCTCTGAAGGGATTTGGTATATTTTCTGTTAGACATCTAAACTGTCGTATATTAAAGTAATTTAACCACTTTGAATAGTTATTTAATTCTAAGTGCTTGTTCGATATACGTACATCTATTGTATGAAGTCCTGGATTTATGTTTAGATTTTGACCGACGCTTTTTCTTTTATATACAGGTGTCTATTGATTAGACAGTTTATTAAGTTTTATAGACTACTACACCAGGATCATTAAGGATGTATATCCACTGTACACCACCAGTCACGGATAGTTTAATTCCTAATACAGGAATTAAGGTCAACTTTGAGTGTGTGTATATACTGAGATACACTCTTCTATAAGTGTATATACACTGCTGTTAAAAGTACATGCACATGAATATTACACTTCTCAGAATATATACAAAGTGAGGTCCATGCATGAGACACAGTCCATCCTGTATATAAGACACTGAGGTCTCAGTGACACCGGAATATACAGAACTCATGTGGTTATTTTATTGCTTCTACGTGGGCTCGTTTGCGACAAATATACATGCAATAACTTTATTACAAAGACAAGTGCTGACCTAAAGAGTAAATTGTTGATCCAGCAATCACCATGGCTGATCACGTCAAAGACAGAGGCTTCGCCTGTTTGGTTTATCAATACTTCTGTGCCCTGGGATGCCAAGGTCCTGAACCACTCACTCATGTCTTCCCTGCCCGCCGCCTCCGCTAGCTCTGAAGCTGTCTGTAGGCTGCCTGATATCAACATATGAAAAGCCTTTTTGGTTTGTTCCGAGTAATTGTACATTGCCCAAGTAAGGAACTTGAATTTGGAAGCCAGCTGCTCTTTAGAAATTTTAGAGAGCACCAAGAACGAGACAGCGTGGAGTCTAGCCAGCTCTCGGAGCACAAGAGCAGCGTGGGGCACACTAAGAGCTTGCTTGCGGTCGTGTAACTTAAATCCACGATGCCGTAGATCTTCAAGAAATAATTGATCTTTTTTTTCATCCCAGTCGTCGTGTAGACAGCGGGGAACTCTCAGTGGGTCCTGCCCAATAGCTGTCAGTTCGGGGTTGTGAGTGGCATTAAGTCGGTAAAAAAATTTTGCCTTTTTTCTGAAACACCATGTCATCGAAATCATTCTTCATAGTTTTGTTCTGGAGTTGCTTCATCTTGACTACGTAAAAAACTTCTTGCTCGCAGCCGTCCTTAGAGAACTTGCCACTGACGCTATTGATGACGGCCACGTATTTGCCCCCCCTTGTTGGTGAAAATAATGAGAGGCCCGGAGAGGGGGGCGAGGGGTCCTGTCCTTGGTCGACGGAAGCTTTCCCCCACCAGTGCCTCCGCACCTGGGGTGCCTTCTGTCCCTTCATTGTCTCTGGGACCGCCGACATCCCTTACTGCACGCACTGCAAAATAAATAGCTTTTAATTCTTTTTACTACAAATTTCAATAACAATCCGTGGTCGAATAACCTCACACAAAAAAGGGTTGGAAAAAAATATTAAATTTTTGTCCTGCACCAAATTTGAAGACGGGGTTGTTAGTTGTGAAATTTTTTCTCTATGATATTAATAAATAATGATTAAAATTAATTTTCCATTTAAAACCTTTTTTGAAGGTTATGTATGTAATGAACAACCAGTGATAGGAAGAAACTTGTGGCATCAATCACAAAACGTCATAAATTTAAATTTCAGCCGCAGCGTACTGCCGATAGTATAAGGTATAGGTTTATCAAGCATTTAAAATTTTAAAATATCGCTTTTGAGAGCTTAATAATTAATCAGTCATCAACTTTATAAAGCTTTACATAAATAAAAGCTGTTACATTGAAACCTTTCTCTGCAACTGTCTTTCTATCCGAAACGCTTTGCATAATCAACCTTCGTTAGAATATGTAATAATGTTTCCATAAAAGTGTGACCAAATTCTAACATACAAATGTAAAACCATCCAATGTAACCTCAATGTATTCTAACATATTTATCTCGATATTCAAAGACTAGCCAGGTCGCTGGATTACCTTGTAGACTAAGTTAAAGGGCGTCCATTTTTTTTTTTATGGTGGGCCGCGTGAATTTATTGAATATGATGACGAAGTATTGTCTATTGATTATTAAAGGACAAAATCGAAGAACATGACCGGAACACTGAAATAGTTACGCAGATAACGCAAGGAAAAAAAAAAGACAAAAATCAAACATGACCGGAACACTGGAATAGTTAAGCAGATAAAACAATAAAAAATGACAAAAGCAAGGAACATGAACATAAGAACATAAGAAAGGAGAAACACTGCAGCAGGCCTGTTGGTCCATATGAGACTCTATGACCGCGGGTTCAATCCCGGCCGGGGGTATGGTTTATTTGCAATCGTGTCATTACGATTTCTTAAGTCATACGAGGCAGGTCCTTTACAATCCATCCCACTAACAAAACATTTTGCCCAACCCAATTTTCAATGCCACCCAAGAAATAAGCTCTGATAACTCTATCCACTCTCATATGCAAGTCCCAAAGACCGAACACTGGAATAGTCACGCAGATAACACAAGAAAAAAAAAGACAAAAAACAAAGAACATGACCGGAACACTGGAATAGTCACGCAGATAACACAAGAAAAAAAAGACAAAAAACAAAGAACATGACCGGAACACTGGAATAGTCACGCAGATAACACAAGAAAAAAAAGACAAAAAACAAAGAACATGACCGGAACACTGGAATAGTCACGCAGATAACAGCACAAGAAAAATGGCAAAATCAAAGAAAACGGCCAGGACACTGAAACAGTCAAGTAGACAACAAAAGGAAAAAAAAAAATACCGCGTCATGCCTAGCAGCTACAAGTAGTTTTAATACTACAAACGTCCTTGTACCAAGTTGCATACATTATGTCGAATTGGCACTTTAGTCACACTGTTTAACTTTGAACCTCATTTTTTTTTCGCCGGGGGGGGGGGGAGGCTCAGTTCTGCGCAGTCAGCATTACTTTATTTTTTTTATTTCCTCTGCCTCCTTATAATCCCAGTTACCATAAAAGATATATTTGCTGTTTTTACATCAAATCATGTGTAAAAATGTGTAAGATGAGGAGGTGTCATGGGGGACACATTGTGTCACGGGCGACACGTGTCATGGGGGACATTGTGTCACGGGCGACACGTGTCATGGGGGACACGTGTGGAAATAAATGGTATAAAATACAGGCACAGTGGAAATATAAACACATATGCAGTATAATGTGATCCTTTATTGACAACGTTTCGCCCACTAAGTCACAAACAGATCTGACACGTGTGATGGGCGACATAAAGCGTCATGGATGACATAATGTGCAACGGGAGACAGGCCATAAAGGATTTAACTTGACTCACGAAATCGTAATGACACGATTGCAAACAAACCATACCACGGACGGGGATAGAACCCGCGGTCAGGAGTCATAAAACTCCAGACCGACGCGTTAGCCACTGGGCTAGGTGCTTACCTGGAGTTTACCTGGAGAGAGTTTCGGGGGTCAACGCCCCCGCGGCCCGGTCCCGTGACCAGGCCTCCTGGTGGATCAGCGCCTGATCAACCAGGCTGTTGCTGCTGGCTGCACGCAAACCAACGTACGAGCCACAGCCCGGCTGATCAGGAACTGACTTTAGGTGCTTGTCCAGTGCCAGCTTGAAGACTTTCCAGGGGTCTGTTGGTAATCCCCCTTATGTTGCGGGAGGCAGTTGAACAGTCTCGGGCCCTGACACTTATTGTATGGTCTCTTAACGTGCTAGTGACACCCCTTTCTTTTCATTGGGGGGATGGTGCATCGTCTGCCAAGTCTTTTTTCTTCGAGTGAGTGATTTTTTGTGTGCAAGTTCGGTACTAGTCCCTCTAGGATTTTCCAGGTGTATATAATCATGTATCTCTCCCTCCTGCGTTCCAGGGGAAAACAGGTTTAGAAACCTCAAGCGCTCCCAGTAATTGAGGTGTTTTTATCTCCGTTATGCGCGCCGTGAAAGTTCTCTGTACATTTTCTAGGTCGGCAATTTCACCCGCCTTGGAAAGGTGCTGTTAGAGTGCAGCATATTCCAGCCTAGATAGAACAAGTGACCTGAAGAGTGTCCCTCATGGCTTGGCCTCCCTAGTTTTGAAAGGTTCTCATTATCCATCCTGTCATTTTTCTAGCAAAATGCGATTGATACAATGTTATGGCCTTGAAGGTGAGAAACCTCTGACATAATCACTCCCAGGTCTTTGGGCGTTGGTGTTTCGCTCTATTTTGTGGCCAGAATTTTTTTGTACTCTGATGAAGATTAATTTCCTCATGTTTACCCATATCTGAGAAATTAAAATTTCTCATCGTTGAACTTCATATTGTTTTTGCAGCCCACGAAAGATTTTTTTGATTTCCGCCGGACCCTTGCAGTGTCTGCAATGGAAGACACTTCATGAAATTTCGGGGTGTATCTGAAAAGGAAGACCGGTGCTGTGGGAACCCCTTGTCATGTGGATTGAGGTGGGGAAACAAGATGGGAGTTAACGGCCTTGTGGAAAGAGCTTTTCACGTATGCCTCGGACTTTTCTCTGTTGAGACTACTCTCTGTGTTCTGTTAGTGAGGGAAAATTTTGATCCAGACCGACTTTTCCTTTATTCCCTTTTGGCCATTTTTGCGCTTTCGCCATGGAAAAACTTGTCGAAGGCTTTTGAAAGTCTGTATAATTTACATCTGATTCTTTTTTTTTCTAGTGATTTAGGACCTTGTCATAGTGATCCCGTAGTTGAGAAGACCGAGCGACCGTTCTAAACCCAGTTGCCCCGGGTTGTGTAACGATGGGTTTCTAGATGGGTGGGGATCTTGCTCTTAGGACCCCTTTTAAAGATTTTTTTTGAATGGGGGTTTTGTGCTATTTGGGCTGTAGTTCTTTTCGTTGCTTTACTGCCCCCTTTGTGGAGTGGGGCTATGTCTGTTGTTTTAGTAACTGAGGGACGACCCCCGTGTCCATGCTCCCTCTCCATAGGATGGAAAAGGCTCGTGATAGGGGCTTCTTGCAGTTCTGATGAACACAGAGTTCCATGAGTCTGGCCCTGGGGCAGAGTGCATGGGCATGTCATTTATCGCCTGTTCGAAGTCATTTGGCGTCAGGATAAACATCGGATAGGCTTGTGTTAATCAAATTTTGTGGCTCTCTCATAAAAAATTCATTTTGATCTTCGACTCTCAGTCTGGTTAGCGGCTTGCTAAAAACTGAGTCATATTGGGACTTGAGTAGCTCACTCATTTCCTTGTTGTCATCTGTGTAGGCCCCATCTTGTTTAAGTAGGGGCCCAATACTGGACGTTGTTCTCGATTTTGATTTGGCATAGGAGAAGAAATACTTTGGGTTTCTTTCGATTTCATTTATGGCTTTTAGTTCTTCCGCGATTCCTGACTCCTAAAGGATTCTTTTAGCTTAAGTTCGATGCTTGCTATTTCTCTGACCAGTGTCTCCCTGCGCATTTCAGATATATTGACCTCTTTTAGCCGCTCTGTTATTCTTTTCCGTCGCCTGTAAAGGGAGCGCCTGTCTCTTTCTATTTTACATCTACTCCTCCTTTTTCTTAGAGGGAATAAGCCTTGTGCATACATCGAGTGCCACCGAGTTAATCTGTTCTAGGCATAAGTTTGGGTCTGTGTTGCTTAGTATATCTTCCCAGCTTATATCGGTTAGGACTTGGTTTACTTGGTCCCACTTTATGTTTTTGTTATTGAAGTTGAATTTGGTGAATGCTCCCTCGTGACTAGTCTATTTTGTCGGTCTGGGGCCCCACGCATACATGTCTGAACCTCAATTATGTTGTGATCTGAGTATATTGTTTTTGATATGGTGACATTTCTTATCAGATCATCATTGTTAGTGAAGATGAGGTCTAGTGTATTCTCCAGTCTAGTAGGCTCTATTATTTGCTGGTTTAAATTGAATTTTGTGCAGAGATTTAAAAGCTCGTGTGAGTGTGAGTTTTCATCAGAGCTGCCTCCTGGTGTTATTACTGCAACAATATTATTTTGCTATATTCCTCCATTTTAGGTGCCTTAAGTTGAAATCCCCCAGGAGCAAGATGTTGGGTGCAGGAGCTGGAAGATTTTCCAGACAGTGGTCAATTTTTAACAGCTGTTCCTGGAATTGCTGGGATGTTGCATCCGGAGGCTTGTAGACTACCACAATGACTAGGTTTTGGTTCTCGACCTTTACTGCTAAAACTTCCACTACGTCATTTGAGGCATTAAGCAGTTCTGTGCAAACAAGTGACTCTGCAATATACAGGCCAACCCCCCCCCTTTTGCCTGTTCACTCTGTCACATCTGTATAGGTTGTAACCTGGGATCCATATTTCGTTGTCCAAGTGATCCTTTATGTGGGTCTCAG